TATAGTAAGCGTCTTCTTGAATTCTTTTATAGTGATGTTTGGGGTCCTGCCCATAATCGTTTATTGATAGTTTTTCCTATTATGTTATCTTTGTTGATCACTATACACTTGGCTTTTTCATTAAACGTAAATCTTATGTCTTCTCTATTATCACAACCTTTAAGGCTCTTGTGGATCATTACTCATCTCACCACCCCACCACATACTCCTAAACATGCTGGTGCAAAACATTGCCCCGACATGTTGTTGAAATCGGGTAACTCTTCTTCATCATGCCCCTTTACCCCTCAATTATTGGTCATATGCATGCAATGCTTATTTATAATCTTATTAATAGGATGCCCACACCTATTCTTCATAACATATATCCATACACAGCTCTCTTTGGTGATAACCCTAACTATGCTAAACTTTACGCCTTTGGTTGTCTATGTTTCCCTTGGTTACAACCCTACAATTCCAACAAACATCTTTCTCAGTCCCATCCTTGCCTTTTTCTTAGTTACTCTTCCACTCATAGTTCTTATTAATGTTTATTTCTCTATCTTTCCTCTAATTATATATTTGTCTCTGGTCTTGTTAAGTTTGACGAAACCACCTTCCTTCTTACTGCTCCTCATGTCTCTCCCTCTAGTTCACCCATATGGTCCACCTTTATAACTATTGTTAATACCATTCCTTTCAAAGCCATCATTTTGCAGGCGCTTCCCACTTCGCAACCGGCTTTCGCCTCCCTAGATGTCACCACTCATGCTTCATATGTGGCTCGGAGTCGCATCCTTCGTCTTATTCACCACATCCAACCCATTCTCTTCAGAACCAATCCATTAAACCTGGCTAGCCCTTCCTCATGCCACATTTAGCATTGGTCACAATCCTAGTCAACTTACCAAGACTCGCCTTACCTCTCCACAAATGAAGGGAAATATGGAGATTTTTATGGGATTTCTAGTGACTAACATGCATATACAATTCAAAATTTGTAAACGTAAGCAACAAAAGCATAATAATCAAAGCTAAAGTCATGCAAATCCCCTTCAACAAGCATACGTTCATAGTTGATGCATCAAAGAATCATAGTCAAAACCAAGGTGAAGGATTTGTGTGTTATACCTTTGGATCTTGACTTGAGTCCAATAAGTGACCACCTCCAAGACCTATCATTTTGGAACTCCTTGAGCCTAGCCCACCTCTTTGCTTCATCCACTTGAAGATTTGGAACTTCTTTGATTCTTCTTAAGCCTCCAACGTTGAGGACTTCTAAAGATCAACACTCGCTAGTGTAATGAAATGGATGACAGAATGGCCAAAGAGAGAAGAGAAAGCTAGCACCCTTCTCCTTATGGTGGTCGATTTTGGTGAGAGGAAAGAAAGTTGTTTTGTTTCTTTTGAAGCAAGATGCTCACACAAAAACCCTAATGAAACTTTTTCACTAAACACCCTTTTTAAAGGAAAGCGAAGTTTCATCACTTCAATGATTAATTTAGACTTTCAAATTAATTATGTCACTTAATTAATCTAATTAATTAATTCCATCATCCTTTTGTTATCTCATGACAAAAGTGTCGGTGTACAATAACTTTAGGTTCTAATTAGCGAGGCGGTGAGGTGATTGGTATCAATCCAATTGATTAGTACTTATACAATCACTTAGTAAATTAAAACTTACTTTTAATTCTCTTTCTACTTTGATGTCTACTTATCTAATCTTCTAGAAGGACCCACAAGCCAGGAGTGTCATCTGATATATCATGGTTATCCAAGTTAATGTAGAATTTGGTCGAAGGACTTATTCAGTTGGAATTACAATGTAATTCAATCCTTCTCTAATTCAATGCTCTCAATCGCATTACCAGGGTATGGATACTTTATGTCAAACCCCTAATGTGATTATACCATCTTATATGACTCCATTGGGTTATATAGGAATGTCTTCCTACATTAAGCTCAATACTTCAGCTGAAGATTCCCAAATTATATCTTAGAATGAAAATCCTCTTATATTGAGGATTAGAGATTCCTTATTGAACATTTACATGCTTATGAGAATGAATCGTTGACCCCCAAGAATGCATAGAACACATCCAAGATGAGATGTGGTCACGTCTCATTGTCAAATGATCAACAACGTATCCCCAAGATAACTATGATGTCTTAGGTTAAAGGACTACTTACATTATTTGAACTAGTAGAGTTACTTGCTTGACATTTGAGTAGCAAGTGCTCTCTTTTGATTGCATTCAGTGGACTAATTCCCTTAACAAGCACCTACATACTAGTCATAGTGTCCCTCCGCGAATGGCTTGAGAGTTTCCATCCTTCCTATTGAAGCAGACATCGTACGTACTAATCTATCTAGATTGTCAGCGTCCCTCTGACAATCCTATGACTAGGAACCTTTTGGACATTTTGGTTATGTAAAGAAGGTCTATGTAGTCTAACATCTTTAGATTACTTCTTCCATCAATTCATCCATGGATTCATTATTTGGACGTATATCGTTTATTGAGATAGTCTTAAGGAGTGACTTTGCTTATTTGTTATATTAGACTTAACTATCCATTCAGGCATTATCCTAAAAGGTTTGTTCTTAAGATTGACTTTTAGGACATATCTCCAACAATCTCCCACTTGCACTAAAGTCAATCACTTGTGCATCTCATAGATGCTAATCGAGTGAACTTGAGCTTGTCAGTTAACTAGGTTATGTATTAATCCTTTTAGCTTAGAAAAAGTTTTACTATTAAATGTTTCAAAACATATAATGTTGTCTCTTCCTTGTGTTTAAATACTTAGACGAGACATTGACTCCATGGCTTGAGCTATCACCCCATTACATCACCTTGTCCTACTAACGACTTATGATTTGGATTCAATCATTGGTTCAGGATGAACTTTGTATATTCGAAACACCTTTTGAAGTAGTTTCCAAAACCTTAAAATATCGATATATGTTTCATTTGTATACTTTATACAAACTTTGCTTCAACCTTGAGACCATTGTAGTATCATACTTACAATACATTCCTATGATTATTACTTCATCAGGATTATAATCACTTGGGTTTATTACCTAAATAAATTCACACTTCTAGAGTCTCACTCTGACATTCCTTTCTCAAAAGCTATACTCAATCGGTTGTCCTAGTTCTGATTCTGGGCTTTAGTAATACGCCAAAGAGATATCCATGAGGGTCATTCACTTTTGGATAACACATCACAAGTTCATACATGTGTACTATTGTTATTTTGTGACATATTCTTTATAAGGATCATGAAAGTAGTTTTCTATCATATATGGAAATGCTTTCACAAATCTTCAACACTTGAGGTTTGTTACCTTATATAACATACTTGATATAGCCTAACTGTATCACTAAGTCTATCTCAATTGACTTCATTTATGTCAAGTCTAATTTTAAGTCTATACTTTGAAAATTGACTATGTCACCTTTTGCCATTTTGAGTAACAATTGTATTCACTAAGTCTATCAAATACACTTCATTTTAAAATTTTGTTTCTCAAAAATTTGACATTACTCCCGCTGACCTTGTTGTAACTAAGTATTCATTCGAAACTTTAAGAAAAACATAACATTTAGATTTTCTTGATTTAAATGCATATCGGTCCCATTAACTTATCTTTGATCGATCGACAATCTTTAAGATCCATTAGCTTATTGTTGATGACTCAACAGTTTTGGACAATCAACAATTCTAGATAACATAATTTATTTAAACGAACATACACAAAAGAATTCCTTCTTAAACAATCCATTAGCATTGGATTAAATTTAGATTTACATCCAATACTAAAAGTGTGACTTGTTTTATCAAGTCCTTTCATTTAAAACATATTTAAACGAACAAACATGGCAAAGGATTCTCCAACAATCAAGTCGATAAAGACTCTTTGCATTCAAGCAGTGGACTAGTGATGAGAGATATGTGATATTGAATCCAAGATACTGTCTTAATTGGGATGCAATCTGGAGTTGATTACTTGATTACTAGAGGGACAAGTAGGTCATCCTCGATGGGGCGGACCCCACCCACTGATCCAAGGATATTGGAATGCCTTGTCTGATATTATGGCCCGATGAGTGAGGTCCGAAACCTTGATCCGCTCCGAGCCACTCACTTCGGAGATTAGTAGATTACTGGCCATTTCGGGCACTCCTAGTGCCACATGGCGGAGGCCCAAAAATCATGGTCCCACATGCTAGTCAGAAACTTATTTTTTGTTTTTTATAGTTTACCCCATTATCATACTTTCTATCTCATTTACACCCTAGAGGTCCTCAATGATCGCTAGTTTTCTAGCGCTCCCGTTCAAATTTTCGATCGAGCTAGGGACAAAAGTTAATCTCCGCAACCTTCTTTACATAGGTAATTATTTTACTTGGCGTTCATTAACAATTGAGCATCCAAATTTCGAATTAGGGACCAGAAGATAAAGGAAATTTTTCAGGTATTGAAAGAACTAAAAAGGTTCATATGAGGGTTTTTAACTTCTTCCTATAGTTTTTTCCATACCGAAATTTGAAAAGGAAAATAGACAATATGGAGACTACCAGTACACTTGCAACATTTCTTTTGTTTCAAAATTTGTTTAGACTTCTCCACCAAAGGTTGTTGGAAAATTCTGCAGTGGTTCGTTTGGGGTCAAGTTTTTCGGTCTAGTTGTGTCATTGTCGATGCCTAATTATGATGTACGAAAGCCACAGCATCCGCAAGAGGTTAAAGGAGCCAAATCTAATGAGAAGAGGAGGAACGAGACGATCCCAAGTCAGAAATTAATTTAAGGAGAGGATCATCGCACGACAAAAACCCGCAAAAAATGGAGAAATGGAATCAACAGGAGTAAGGGAGTAAAACATAATGAAGAAAGAGGCGCAAGGCCTTACGGAAGACTTGCCAACGTCGTGGATCAAAGGGCCGAAGCCTTCCATCGTTAAGCTTTCCTCGAATGTAAACACGGATCAATCAAAACCCGGTCCAGAAAAAGAAGTCTACTATTAGCGTTTATGGCAGAAAGCCTTTGCAAATACTTACATGTGATGTTTTTGACTTGCCAGGATCCTTCCAAAGCGAGCAGAAACAGAGCCAGCAACGTCAGGAAAACAAAAATTGGATAGAAACACAGCCAGCAGTACCAGAAAAACAAAAAATACATATAATAACATAAGTCGATCGTCCATCCAATTCACTAAAGCTTTTCGTGATTGCTCTGAGGTGGAAGAGTTCTGTGATTCTGCACAAAACTTTTCCTTTCTCTTTCTCAAATGGATTCTTCGGTTTGCAGTACCTTGGAAAGGAACTGCTTGCGACAAAGTGGCTTGCATATGTTGTTGAGATTGATGTTCAGCATCTGAGTTGTTGGCAACAACTGGCATCATATGAGCAGCAGGCACGGAAGATTCATCTAGTTTGATTATATCATCGTTCAGTATCTCCGCATACAAGTCTTCATCATAAGAACCCTGCAATTGTAATTAACAATGATCATGATTCATGAGCTGGACCCCCAATGGACAACCATATGGAAATAGAGTTCAAAACCACCATCAGTTATGCATGGATTCTTGGACCCCGTGATAATTTCTCAAAGAATAAGTGTGGTAAATAACAGAACGACAAAGTATTGTTCAGAACCCTAAGACGACTGAGCACTTCTTAGTATAAGGACATTTGATTAATCACTAATTATAAAACGACTGAACTCTTCTTGCAGGCGGTCACTGGTCACCGCCATCCTTTAGATCCCTTCCCATAACCGCTAAATAATAATTTCATGTCAGTTCAGGGATTAGAAGAGACTAATTTAGCGGTTTCACGGATTAGAAGACACTAATTTAGCGGCTTTGGTACTGTCATAACTACCTGAAACACAACTCCCTCTGGAACAACCATCTGACACAAAACCAGCCGTTGGCTGTATTTATTAGTATGGGACCATTGGCAAGCTCATTAAATTTATGAATGCACTAAAAAGTTGCACGACCAGATAAAGGAACATGAAACTCGCTATATGGTGTTTAATTTATATTTTTTTTTCCTTTTCTTACTGAATGATACTCTCCGTATGTTAGCTTGTAAACTTGCAGGTGGTGCTGCTGAGTTAATCTCAACGACAATGACAGAAAAATTAATAGAAAGAAAGAAGGATAAGATTAAACAAACCCACCTTCTGGTGCCCATTAGAGTCTGTCTGCATAGCATCTGTTACTGGTTTTGGGTAGGAGTCGGATGCAGAATCAATTTGCTCAATAGAATGAGAATCATGACTGCTAGTAGACTTCTTCGAATTGCATTCAACTGCCTTATCCCCTTGGTCATTACCAATTTCAGAGACGGCATTTCCATCATTTTGCATAGTTGATAAAGGAGTTCGACTTGAACAACCTTGGTTTGTGGTGTCATTCAAACAAAACTCACTGTTCTTCCGGAGGCGGCAAACAACCATAGAATCCTGCAGATAGAAGCAGGCAGAACATGTAAGCAAAAAAGAAATCAGAATGTGCATATATATGGAATGCACAAGTGAATGTGAAGATGTAATCAGAAACTATTTTCAATATAACTAAAATATGCAGCAAGTAAATAATCTTGAACCAATTCCAGATGACCAAGCAGGTTGAGTCGGATGTCTGTGGCTAAATATTCACTTCCGATAACATTCACTTTAAAGTAACAAACTAGATGGGATATGAAGCTTCTAATAAAGTATTACTTAGGAGAAGGCAATTATATGGGAAGACAGAGTGAGGAAACGGCAATTAATTTAATCTTCCATTTCCCAGAAGAATATACATATGTCACCTGGGGTTTATCATTTATGCAGTACTCGTGCATAATCCATTCTGTCCTTTCCCCTTTTGGTGCACGACCTATGTGGAACACAAGTGTCCTCTTTGTACCAATAATGTTAGAACTTGACTTTACGTTACGTTCCTTTCCTGTGGCCTTCCAATAACCGAATTCTGTTGCCCTTCTACTTTGTGATCCATTTGGGTACTTTCTTCCTCGTGGAGAAAAGAAGAACCACTCATTTTCCGATTGAATGACAGATTTAGCTAGTAACAGATAAACACTGTCAAACCCAGCAAAAAATTATTTGTTTGAAAATCTCTCATGTTGGTAACACTTGCATTCGTACACCCCAAGCCAATTTTCACCTATCAAACACACTTCTTTGCCCTAATGCATCCACAAATGTTATTTCCATTCATAGATTTACCAATGATAACAATTGTTCTCTAACTTTATACCCTAACTCCTATCGTGTTCAGGATCTTCACATGGGCAATATGCTTTTCCACGGCTAGAGTAGAAATGGATTCTACCTCTTCTCCACTGTTTCATCAGGCACTAAAGGAGTCTTTGCATTCATAGGTGCTAGAGTGTCTAACTCTATTTGGCACTCTAGATTAGGTCATCCATCTTCTCATGTTTTAAAAAAAAATTAAATTCTAGGAATAAATTGCCTATCAATGGCGTTGTAACCCATGATTTTTGCCAATCTTGTCCCATGGGAAAAAATCACAAGTTACCTTTTAGTTTATCTACTTTAAATATTATGTCATTTTTATTGATGATTTTTCTCACTATTTCTGGTTATATCCATTAAAATTGAAATCAGATGTATTTTCTACATTTGTTGCTTTTAAGAAATTGGTTGAAAATATGTTTAACACCACTATAGAATTCTTTCAAACTGACGGAGGAGGTGAGTATCTTAGTACCACTTTTAAAACTTTCTTAACTCATCATGGTATTAATCATCGTTTAACATGCCCACATCATGCCGAACAAAATGGAATTTCTGAACGAAAACATCGACATATTGTTGAAATTGGTCTCACTCTTCTTGCACATTCATCTTTATCTACATCTTTTTGGGATGATGCCTTTCACACGGCAAATTACTTGATAAATCGTTTACCCACTAAAGTCTTACATGATGACTCTCCTTTTCAAAAACTCTTTTCTAAACCTCCTCAATATGATTTCCTCAAAGTTTTTGGGTGTGCATGTTACACATATCTTCGACCATATAATACAAATAAACTTCAATTTAGATCCAAAAGTTGTGTTTTTCTTGGTTACTCCTTAAATCAACAAGGATATAGATGCCTTGACATGTCAACAGGAAAAATATTTTTGTCTCGTCATGTTGTCTTCGTTGAAACATGTTTTCAATATAAAGAATCCATTTCTACTATGTCCCTCTTATCACCTATTCCCTCAACCAATATGATATTAGATATAGGACCATCCCCTCCACACCATCCACAGTCCTCTAATCCTTCCCCACCACACCTTCCTGCCACCATCTTACCCATCCCACCAACTCCCCACCTCTCTCCCCTAACCTTACTTCCCCACCTCTACCTGTCATTGCCTCACCTACCCCTTCATTAGTCTCCCATATCTCTCCTACTAACCTACCAACTATTCCCCTAGGACCCACGAATGCAAGTCACGTCCCTTTTCAGTCCTCTTCATCTCCAAGGACTCTTCCACCTACTTACCCTATGACAACATGTGCTAAGGACGGGATTCATAAACCAAATCCCAAATATGCATTGCTTTCTACTGTTACTAATACTGTGGTTGAGCCTACTTGTTTTACATAGGCTAATAAATATCCTGAATGGTGTCAGGCAATGGCAGAAGAGTTTAATGCTCTCTTAAGAACTGGCACATGGTCCTTGGTTCCATTTCTTCCTTCCATGAATGTTCTTCCCAATAAATGGGTTTATTGAATCAAACGGCACTATGATGGTTCCATATAGTGGTATAAAGCTAGACTCGTCGTAAATGGATTTCACCAACAAGATGGTATTGATTATAACGAGACATTCAGTCTGGTGGTCACTCATGCAACAATTAGACTCATTCTCTCCATTGCCCTTCACTATCAGACAACTTGATGTTCAAAATGCTTTCTTACATGGTTCTTTAGCTAAAGTAGTTTATATGCGACAACCTTCAGGTTTTGTGGACCCTCAATTTCCATCACATGTATGTCGACTGCACAAGTCCCTATATAGTTTGAAACAAGCACCCCGTGCCTGGTTTCACTGTTTCTCCCAACACCTTTAAGAAATAGGGTTTCAGGCCTCCTAATTAGATTCTTCACTGTTCACATTCTTTAATGGATCTACTATTATCTATTTATTGATATATGTCGACGACATCCTTGTTACGGGTAATAATTCATCATAAATATCTCGACTTATTTATCAACTTGGTCAAAAGTTTTCAATGAAGGATCTCGGACCTTTACATTATTTTTTAGGCATGGAAATTACACGGACACCAACTGCCATGTATCTTTCCCAATCTAAGTACATCCTGGACCTTCTCAAAAAGACCAATATGACTGATGCCAAGCCACTCACCATTCCTGCTGCAGCTGGCCGCAAGTTAAGTCTCTATGAAGGTGAACCTTTGTCAGATGGCACTCATTTTCAAAGCATAGTTGGTGCTCTCCAATACTTTTTTTTCACGAAACCTGATATTGCTTTCGCCGTTAATCAGGTTTGCCAATATATGCATTCACCCACCACTGCTCATTAGGCTGCTATTAAACGCATCCTCCACTACTTGAAGGCCACTCATGCTCACGACATTGTTTATACACCTAGTCCTCTCACCCTCACTGCCTTTGCTGATGCGGATTATGCTGGCGATCCCGACGATTGGTGCTCCACTAAGGGCTATTGCATTTTTCTTGGACATAATCTAATCTCTTGGAGCTCCAAGAAACAACGAGGGGTGTCTCGCTCAAGCACCGAGGTCGAGTACAGACAACTCGCCTATACAGCAGCCACTTTATCATGGTTTCATCATTTCTTTCATGACTTACACCTTTTTATTTCTCCACCAAAGTTATGGTGTGACAATATTAGTGCACTTGCAGTAGCTTCTAATCCTGTTTATCAAGCAAGGATGAGACACATTGAAGTTGACTACCACTACGTCCGGGAAAAGGTAGTGCACAAAGAAATACAGGTTGGCTATGTCGCCACTGCTGATCAAATTGCTGACCTTCTCACAAAAGGCTTGTCTACTGCTCGTTTCAATTATCTGTTTTCCAAGCTTCATGTGCATCTCCGCCCACTTAGCTTGCGGGGGTGTGATAAACCTATTATCCCTACATGTACTCCAGGTCAGCAAACCACTCCAAGTCAGCCATCCACATCTCTGCAGTTCGCATCATCTAAGTCTCTCTCATCAAGTCAATCTCACAGTTTGGATAACTCAAGGACTCTTCATCAGGATAACTCAAGGACTCTTCATCAGATGGACTTTCCTATCTCTTCTTAGACTCTTTCAGTTTGTATTTTGAATTTACTTGTAATCTGATATATGTTTACACTGTAACCAACTTATCTTGTAATCTCTATATAATGAAGTCAAAACCTCACTCATCATTAACTGAGTTGAGCTTATGCAATCGGTCTCTAAAACCCTAGTTTAAACTCTTTCAGTAACCACCAAGCTTCGAACTCAACGACATTCGTCGAAATTCATCGCTGGGATGACATGCATGCACATATTCAAAACAGAGATTCAACCCCAGGGATTTTCGACATAATACTCATCACAGATGGATTAGAACCTCACACAATCAAGAGGGGAAAATAATTTATACCTGCGATAGAGTTCGTGAGAGCTCAAGCTCTCAATGTTAATGGCAGAGCACATGGTGATGCACCAATGATATATGCAACGCTGTAGGTTGATTCCCCATGTCCTAAGGGTTCGAGGTTCAAATTTTTTAGGGTTGATTTGGTCAGAATCGAGAGGAATGGTGGGGGTTCATTCTCGAAGCTTAGAGAGAGAGGGAGAATGTCGAGAGTTAAAGTTAGGTTTCAGAAAAATGAAGAAGGAGCAAAGGAGTGGGCCAGATGTGGGTATACCCCATCCCACTTAAGAATTATTTAAGTGAAATTACCCAATTGCCCTCCTAAGTTGCAAAATTAACAATTTGGTCGTCGGGTTCTCAACTTGAGTTTCGATATCAACGTTAAACTAACGTACGAAAAGTAAAATTATGAAACTTAAGAAAGTACGAGGATAGAAATTCTTGAGTCGAGGCTTGATAAATTAATTAAAACACCTGCTCATGGGCTAAATAGTCATTTCACATGTCTCGGAAGTAAAATACATTATTTTAAGGTACGAGTTGTAACAGTCGACTCTCATAGATGGGACTGTTATGCACCATTTTGGTTGCTTAATGCAATGTCGTTTAATTGTAAACGTTTCAATTTAAATCTAATAAATATTTATGCCGATTGCCGTGAAAAAAAATAAAAAATAAAAAATGGAAGGGAAGTTTCATTTGGAACAAAACTGCACAAACTTGTGAAATTATTCAATTGGAACAAAACTTTACAAACGTTATCATCATCGTTTGGGCATCATCACTTTATACCTTTTGTCTCATGTATTAGAGAGAATTTTTTTCCTCAAGATTTCTCAAACATACAAAACCTTGGGTTCACAATACTAAAACCTCCATCCACCAAAAGATTATGCCCACTAACATATTTTGACTCATCACTACCCAAGTAAAGAGCAGCCTCAGCAACATCTTCTGGCCTAAGAACCTTACCTTTAAGGTTGGAATAAACTCCATGCACTCCATCATCATCAAGATTGAAAAAGTCCTTCGCCAACGGTGTTGCAACTAGGTATGGTGACACGCAATTTACACGAATACCGTATTGTCCAAGCTCAACGGCCGCATTTTTCATTAACCCCACTACCCCATGCTTCGAACTTGTGTAGGCATGTGGAGCACCTCCGCCTATGGTAGAACAAACACTAGCAGTGTTGATTATGCTGCCTTGGCCTGCTGGGATCATCACGCGAGCTGCGTGTTTAATCCCCAAAAATGATCCGACTAGATTTACACTAAGCACTTGCTCAAATTCAGCCTTGTCATTGTCGAGGATGTTGGGTTTGGGTGTGCCACCTATGCCTGCATTGTTGAACATGATGTCTAGCTTTCCATACTTGCTTGTGGCTGTTTTAACTGCATTTTCGATGTCTTCTTCTTTTGTTACATCGCAATGGACGAAGGAAGCGGATGAAGAATTTAGATCTCTGAAAACAGATTCACCCAAGTCGTCTTGCACATCCGCAATCACAACTTTAGCTCCATGTTTTGAGAAGACTCTTGCTGTGGACTCCCCTATGCCGCTGGCTCCACCAGTGATCAGTGCCACTTTGCCTTCAAGCCTTCAACATTGAGGCATAATTTTACTTTCATATTAGTCTAGTTTCAACAAAACATTTAATTAAAGGAA